GTGATGAGGGTCAAAATGGAACGAGAGGTGTGCCGGTGTCTGAAGAAGATGACAAAGGTCCCAGCTGCTTGAGGTGATTTAAGAACTCTAGAACTTGGCATGTGCTGCTTTTCCAAAAAGCTTACTGCAAGTGTTTCTTGCTAAACCTATTCTGCACTGCACTACTTAGAAAGTATGTACCATCAAGTAAAGACAAACAGTCCCAAAACTCTCTTGCTGTTCTTCTACCACTTTAAACTGCGAAACTCCACAGTGTCGCGTACAACTCACAGAAATTGCCATAATGCGTCGTGGCAGTAATAGACGCATTTGATTTTTCCAAGGTAGATATTGTTTGCATTATTAGGTTTCAGTCAGAAATACTGAAAGAAATGTTTGAAATGCGATTTTCCTAAGTTCCAAGGGTATGCTTGCTTGTCATCAGTAGACAATACCTGTACCTCTTGAAATCACCTGTGCTTCACTGATCAATTGCTGTCCCACAGCAATCCTCTCCACTGTCCTGTGACTATCAACTGACAAGGCAAGGAACTGCTTTATTGCCCCAAGCATCCCCACCTCAATCACCTTAAGTTTTGTCCTCCTAGGATCCTATTCTAAAACGTGACATGTCTTGGGAGATGGATAGCAAAATTCAAAAGGCAAAAGAAAAGAAGAGGCTGTGTCACGACCATCCGACACCAGTACAGAAACAACCCAGGTGAAGACTCAAATTTCTTGTAAGGGCAATCTTTATGTCTGATGAAAGGTATGGGTATAACTGAGTAAAGACTGAGCAATGTGCCAGTCGTAGCTTGCAATAAGCTTCTCAGTTGTTTCCAGACAGCATTTAGCATAAATACAGAATCCACAGGATCACAATCATGGGGGCCAGAAGCCTTGAGAATATCAATGTCAAGCAGCCGAAGAAGACGACTCATAAGAGTCACTCAAGTGACATAAGGCTTCAGAACTTCTCTTTGGTGCTTATTGAGCTGTTTCACAGCTGTGTAGTACACAAAGCTCTCCTTCTATTGACACAACACAGGACACAAGCTGAAAAAAAAAAAACACTGCCATTGCGTCTACATGGAGGAGTCACTAGAAAATGAACGAGCGCTTTTTCTCACGTTCGTGAATTTACTAATTGAACTACAATTCCCGTCGTGCCACTGCAGAGATGTTACAGCAGGCGGCAATGTGCCACAGAAATGTGCTGTAAAACCTCATTTAGGGCATTTTCCACTCTTGCAGTTAATGATAAAAGTAAAGAGAAAAAGTTTGACACCACAGGTCATGGGGTTATGAATAATGGGCTGAAATGTCTAACAACTCTCAGCATTTCAAGAAAAGTGAATTTTCATTATTCATGATTCATAATTTATAATTTCTAGAAAGTTGTGTTACAAAATATCTGCAATCCAGTGTCTCTTATAACACTTTAACATTTTTTAGACATCAGAACATTTCAAATGAGTGTTTGAGACTCAAAAAGTGCCTTCCCTGAATTATATTTTATGTTAATACAGTATGTATTAGGATTACACTCTTTCTTGTGATACATATACAGGTTAAAACATTTACAAAATCAAATAATTACAGTGCCCTCCAAAAGTATTGGGTTGGCAAAGTAAAACAGTGATGTTTGCTCTACAGTCAAACAATACAGTATGTATTTGTGATAATGAGATTAATATGCTTGACAAGTACAATATAATGTCCATTTTATAATTGGATAATTTCACACATACAGTACATTTGATCATATAATAATAGAAACATACTTCATGTCCAACCCAGTGAATTTCAAGTGACATAAAAAAGTATTTGGACATGTTCACTTTAAGTATATTTCAGAGTCAGTATTTAGTTGCATATACCTCTGTGGCAATAACTTTGACTTCTTCCCTGTTCTCTTCCCTGAGTTTTCTTCCTTCGATTTATTTTCACCAGCATGTAAAATGTATGGCATTACCTTCACCATGTTCCATAATTTGCTTGGAAAGAAGAGGATGAGCCTGGAGAGTTTTGGAAAATTGTTTATGGACAGATGAGAACAATAATGGTAAATATTTAGCTTTATGTTTCAATTTTCCTGTACCAATACTTTTAGATTCCACTATTATATGTTTAAAATTATATGCATGTGTCTCAGCAAACCACATCTCCTGACTATGAACTTAGAAGATTTTTGAATCAATAAAATAAGTAGGTAGTGACCGTCTATCAAGGATACCAATAAGAATGCATCACTTTTTAACACTATTTTAATGGATGGTTTGCCCAAAGTAGTCTATAATTGCCTATCTACTGACTTTAGCATTTAAATGAAATACAGTTGACCCCTTTACACTCTGTACATCACGAAATACTGCATCTTTATTGCAATGGTCATTTTTTTAAATCTTACTAGTTAATAAGAGTGTGACGTCCAAGCTGAAAACTCGGGTGTCACCCGAAGAAGATTCTTTTCTTCTCATTCCATAAACAAACAAACATATGTGAAAAAACTGAAGAAATGGTGTTCAAGCCCTAAAGCAGTTGGTGGCCTTTCATACTGTGTGTAGTGATTCACAAGGAACGTATTACCCCGGGTAATTCATATAAGTATTTCAGAATATACATAGTCAACAATCTAAGCAGGGCTGCTCAGGTTGAAAGTGTGTTTTTGTTCCATTGTTCAGCGGCGCTTGAATTTTTTTACAAAGATTAAGAGTGGCTGATTTTTAGTAAGAGTTGGACATAAAATAATGTTCCTCTTTAACCAAGCTGTAATTGAGAGCATTATTAGCTATGTTATATCAGTGTGGTTTGTTAATTTATCATTGCTAACTTATTTGGGTGCCCAAACATTTGCACATGCCACATTTACTGTTTTATTTTTTTCAATCTGTTAAATTTAGCAAATAAATAGTAACTGTAATATTTGCAGAAACGTGTCCAGTTTAAGTCTGTTTCGCGGCAAAGGCTGTGTTAACTTCTTTTCACTTTGAAAATCAACAAACCATGTCATTTGGCCAGGGGTGCCCAAACGTTTGCATACAAATGTATTGTCCAAACAGCAATGAAGGTTATACTGTAGGAGTGAAACAGGACTCTCCTTGCAGATATGTTTTGAACAGTCCATGATTAGACAGGTGGAAAAAATTCTGTCAGATCCTTGTCATATTCTTAATTCTGAATATCAACTTGTTCCCTCTGGAAAATGTTCAGGGTTCCCAAATGCAGATCAAAAGGTTTAAAAACAAATATGAATATGTTCCCTTATTGATTAAAGCAGTTAAATCCAATTAAATGACAAAGGTCAATAAATAAAAAAGGGTAACTGGGTCAGTATAAACCATTTAGCTGTAACAATCTGTGTATGTGAAATATGTCATGGCTTTTTTAATTAGTTAAGCGGATGCAATAGATGTGACATGTAATTTTGTGTGATGTATTCAGATGTACAGGAACAATGTAAGTCCATAAAAAAAATTCCCCCAGTGGACAAATAAGTTTATCTTAGATTGTATTATATTGTATCCAAACAACTACTCCAGTATTGTTTCACCGCAACTGTGAGATTGCAATTTAATTGTTTTGAAACCTTTGTTTTGAACCTGAACAATTTCCTCAGTCAGAGACAGAGCTGCGCATAGAAAAGAATTAGTTATCACTAGCAGGGGGAGCTAAAGTCACTTCCTTTATTACATCACAGAATGAACACAGAGATCAGCAGAGGGCAGCCAAATGTCACAGAAGGTTTCACAATGAACCTCACTGGAAATGGCCTTTTGATTTCATACGCGATCATCATGATTAACAAACTCCAAGTATCTCGTGATTAATAAGGAGGCTTTTAGCTTTTATTTTACCATGCTTACAGAGTCTGGCATTCAATGAACGTTCTCGCTGAGCTACTGATCCCTGTTATTATTTCTTAACATTCGGCATGTGAGCTCCCTCTTCACACAACAAATAAAGGAAGGACTCCACTAGTCCATGTTCACATACAAAGGACCTTGTAACAGATATTGACCGCATTGTAACTTCCATCAGATAGGACTGAATATGACATGTGGAGAAAGTGCCCAAGCAAATGAAATATCTGCGAGCACAAATCCATCCACTTGTGAAGCTATCCCATTATGTGGTGCCTGTGGCTCTACTGGAATAGAGAAAGTTTTGCACACAACCTGCAAAATCCAGGACGTCCACGACTCGGTGTTACAGAAATGTAACATTGCAGTCAGCTGTAAAGAACTAATGTAACGCAACTGGGTCAGATAAACTTACAGAAACCGTTTTTCATTTTTTCCTGTTTTTTTGTTAGTCTTGCACAAATCTATTCCAGAATATCTTCTTTCTCATGATTTGCAAAAGAGTGTGCAAAATATCCCTAAATATCCAACATAACATAATCAGTAGCTGATTTCTTGATATTTGATTCCTTGGTATTTCTGTATCAAGAAATACCCGAGGGTGGGAAATGAATAGAGATGAGTTTGTTTGAATGTTGCCTTGCTACTTCTACCTGCACTACTTGAGGTAGAAAAAATTGAGTTGGAATTTGGTTTGTTCACAACCCTAAAGTTAAATGTTTCCAACACAGAGAAAAAGTAGAAACGAATTAAGCAGATCAAAAGAAGCCACCTTTAAAAGCTTTCATTTTGCAAGCCCACTCAAAGACATTCAAGCATGTGACACCTTCGTTTGGTTAGTTACCACAACCACACTCACAACATTGCAGTGCAGTGCGGGTCGCGAAAAAAGATTTCTTTTTTGCACCGTCGGTGCCAAAATGCCAGGTTTTAAAAAATGTTTTTTGCGCTACAAAACACGGGTGGCCAGACAACAACGCCGATCTACGCCGCTTTGTGGTTGCGGTTTCTTCGGATCGGCAGGTCAGGAGGCCCGTGCGAGTTGAGAGACAGCCCCCGTCGCGAGTGAATGTGAAGGTGTCACAGTGCCGAACCAGGAGAGCAGGAGAGGCCCCAGGTGAAAGAAAGAAGACTACTGGTGAGTGATCTTTCCCTTACCTGCTCTGGCTTGATGGGCTCAGGGGCTGTAAAGATGTCGGGGTAGTGCTGTCTTTCAAACACTCGGTCCAGTACCTCTAACTGCTGCTGGGTGAAGAGGTCTCCTCTCATCTGCTTCCGCAGGAAGTCCCGGCCAGGGTGCGAGTGACCATTGGGTAGGGGAGACTCTTGCATTGCTGCTCCGCCCCAGGGAGAGAAGGGAGAAGAGAGGTGAGACGGAGTCAGGATGCAGCCTGGGGGAGATTCCTCGCTCCAACCACACACGACTTCTTCACTGTCGGGCGTGGTCAGTGACGAAGATGGGAAACGATGGCGTAAGTACGAGCTGGTGGGGAAGTGCCTACAAGTGAAGAAGGCTTGTACAGCAGACTAACCCGAGGATAAAGAGGATTACTGCCTGTAAAAATGATCATTTCTGCAGAAATCTTACAATATCGTGGACTTAAACATACTCACTTCTATCATTTGTGCTCAAAACAAATCACTTAATCATTGACAGACATGATAAAACTGCAAAAACTACATTGAAACCTTGTATTTTTGCATGGCATTCATATTCACAGCAGCAGATACAGCAGTTAGTTCTACTATTCACATTTCATTAATCTAGAAATGTAAAATGTCTTTGAAGTAATGTGAATATTTTAACTGCATTTTACATTGTTGTATGTCCATAACATGGTACATGCTATTACGTACAAAATGTGAATTCTGTGGTGGATACCTGACTGGCAAAACCTGAATGGCAAAACAGTGTGGTACTGTGGTAATTCCATATCTACACTGGCATTTTTCTTACAATAATATTTTTCTTTGAGCTTTAGCACCAAATTCCACATTTCAAGTCAAATGCAGGTGAATGTCAGTTTGAGAACACACAGTATTATAGGTATAAAATCTGTAAAGAGAAAACAGGATATTGATTCTAATCTACTAGCACTTATCCAAGTGTCACTCAAAATACTGACTGCATTATAACACAGTCTGCCTTATATTTTTATACTCAAAACCACAAACGAGCAGCAAAAAAATATAATCTCTTCAAGTGTTTGTTTTCTTTTAATTTATTATTTCATTATAGGCGTTTGCTATGGTTTCATCAGAGACAACAGAGGAGAAAAAAAAAAAAAAAACTCATCTGAAAGTAAAGTTATTCATTGAAGCAAAATGTCCCTGAAAGAACATCACAGTCCTCTGAGTTACAGTTTCACTGTACA